CAAATTTCGACGGGTATGTGTCGAAAATAGCCGGCGGGTTTAAAAAAAAAAACCTTCAAAATCGACTTCGAAGCTCATAAAAGACATTGATACTTACCTTAATGTGTTCTCCTTAGTCGTAAACTATCATTTTGTTGTCATTTGACTCTATTTTACAGATTGTGTGAGGTTTTAATTTCTTTAGTTTTGAGATTTTTTAGAAGGGTTTGTTGTGAGGAAGAAGAAGGAAGGGGTTGAGGGAATTGTGAAGAAGAAGATGGGTTTGAGGAGTTTTGTGTGTTTGGTATTAAAGGAAGAAAAATGAGATTTTTAATATTTATATGGTATTTATTTTCATTAAGGGTATTTATGTCATTACCTATTTATTATTCAATTTTTATTTTTTTGGTATTGGAGTGAGAAAAAATTGGGATTTGTTATAGCCATCCCCTTAAAAAGTTTCAACTAGATATCATTATCATTAAAAATAAGAGGCACTCTTTTTCTTGAGCCCAACAAGGTTTTAACGAGAGATCCGTTTATAATTTATTTTTTATTAATAAAATTCAAATTTTGGACAAAAAATAAAAAGGAAAGGAAAAGAGAGAAAAAAATAAAAAAAAACCAATATGGAGATATTAAAAAAAATAATAATAAATTTGGTAAAGGGACAGAGATAATGATATCAATAATTGGTAATTAGGTCACCATTATCATTAAGAAAGATGACTAGATCCATTTTTAGTCCTTTCTAGGCTGCATCTTTCTTTTCCATATTCAAGAAAAGTCAAAAATAATAATAATTATTATTATTGATTGAACAAAGGTAGGAAGATAGGTCTTCACATGAGGTGTATGAGTTGAGGTTGTGAATTATCATATTCCACGTGGACATATAGATATGTTTAAATTGATGGCCAAAGTGGATAATTATAGTCTACGAGATGCTACACTCGGGGATTTTGTACTATTTAAATAACTATTCATTGAGCACATATACACATGTGTATGTTTTATATGTATAATAGATTAATTGCACAAAATTATCTAATGTATTTCACCAAGTATAGATAACATCTACAAAACCGATAATTATTAGATGAACTTTATTAGTATCTTGCGACAAAGATTAACAATTGGAACATTTTATTAGTCAAAAATCAATACGATGATTGGATGGTTTTACGAGGAAAATGAGTCGTCGATTAGTCTTACGTGCAATACCATAAAAAATAATGTATTCATTTTCTTACATTATTAATTATATATGTCTTGTGATTTCTAAGTTTCTTTGAAAAAAATAAAATAAAATAACAACTCTAAATACGTTTATCTTCGAGACATTAAAAAATAGGTGATATCTAATAAAGAAAGAAAAGATACCATTAATCCATTATACAAATCTATGTATGCATTGTAAACAAAGAGTTGAATGTTTCCTCTATACATTTGATCAAATATAACACACATTTTATTACTCAATCTTTTATACTTGTGTTTGGAAATTATTGAGAATAGATTTGAGAGACAATATAATCAAGATTTGTAATATATGTGGTTTAGGTTTTAAATCGGGAAAAATACAACTTTCGTCCCTCAAACTTGCACGATTTCATATTTAATCCTCTATGTTCACAAAAAAACAAATATGATCCCTCATGTACGTTTAAAGAAAATCAACTGTTTTAGTTCCGTCAATTTTTTGTTGCTACTAACAAAATCAAACGTGTCCACATCACTGCCTTAACTGACGAGCTAACGATAAATTGATGAATACAAGGATTGTATAATCATAAATCTTAATCGGAAAATATTCAAAATAAAATTGGGTATGATCGACGAGGTGGATAGATAATGCAATTTAAAGCATGTGGAAGGGTATGGGATAAAGATGTCGGCCATCTCATGTGATATTGGATATTGGCCCCCAATGTAGAGTGGTTAAGAAACCGAACAATTACATTTTAGTCCCCATATATTATAAAAGTTCTTGCTTTAGGTCCAATTTTCTACCTTTTTATTTTATAATCATTTCTTATAAGTTCCAAGGTACGTGGAATTTGGAATATCCAATTGAGCGTCACATGTTTGGAATTTAGCTTATTTTATTTTATTTTATGACTTTGATGATATGAGATTCTTACTAGCTAGTGTTTTATGCCAGCCATTTAATTATTAAATAAATTAATAATTAATTATCTCTTTAGATTAGAGGGATAGGGTAAGAAGCACGTGCAATAACACCAAAAAGCATGGATGTAGTGTTTGTGGGATTGCTTTTTTGAATTAAGATAAGAACTTCAAGAAAGTTGGTGAGGGATGTAGTAGGATACACATGACCAATTATATATTAATTATTCAAACTTTTAACTTTATTAAATATAATTAAATTTATATTTATATGTCAATTTTATTTTTCTTTTGAGCTGCCCAAGATCCAAGATCCCTAATTTGAGACTCGGAGCTCTTCTTGAGCTAGTTTGGCTCACTAGCAAAACTAGTCCACATACATGATTTTTAATGTATATTTCCTGAGATATGGTCAAATAACGAAAAAACTTCTTCTGTTTGAATAATTACATCTATTCCCTCAACTAAGAATCTTCTTACATCTCCATCCTTATGGTGTCACATAATCTTCCAGATATCGTGAAATGTTCCCTAGTTTGTACTCGTTTTGCGCAAAAATACAGTTTCTGATGCACCACAATCTGATATTTACAAGCCAAAAAATACATCTTATGATCATCTTACTTCAAAATGTGGAGCTCGAATGGAATAAAACGGGTACAAAATTGAGAATATTCCATATAATCTAGAAGATTCCACTAAATTTGAAACTGCAAGGGTGGACGTGTAAGAAGATTTATAGTTGAGAGGTGGTTATAATTACCCAAACAAGAGATGATTTTTCGTAATTTGACTATACCTCAGGGGGTTGGTTGTAATTTACCCTTATTATTACTAGCATGCATTTCTTCTCGTGCAATGCACGGTAGCATTTAAAAGTGAAAAAAATGACCAATTAATTAATACATGACTATAACAATAATATATCTATATATATATATTCTACACCAACATAGTCCGTTAGAACTCTATCGGAATAACGTATCCAATGCATTATCCCATTAGAGTTTCTTACTACGTTTCAGGGGGAGGTGAGTGTAATTATCGATACTACAGGGACCTTAAAGTTATTTAACCATACCTCAGGGGTGTAGGTGTAATTATTATTATTATTATTATTATGCAATAGCGCCCAGAATTATTGGAGACAAGAGATATTAATAATTTCTAAACAACAACAGTCCCGCAGTGTATATAGTTCCAAAGCACGCAGGGTGAGGGCAGCTGCTGCGCCGGCCAGCCATGGGTATCCAATCATATCACCCCCACTTTATTATATCCTGCAAAATTATATTCCGACGCAAAATTTATAGCTATTTTATATTCAACTGTTATTTAAAGAAATATATGTATTTAATTGTAAATATACATATAGACCTAAGTTTTGAAATATACATCGGTTTCCTTATGCTTCATTTACTCTACATCATAATTTATCTGCGACAAACTTGACCTATAAACAAACTGATAAAAGAAGATCAAACTCGAGGCTACCTATTTGGCTAAGTTTATTTAAAACAATTTTTAGGGCCGCTTATTTTAAATAGTTGATAAACTTTTACATCTAATCAGTTATTTTAGGAGATGATAAATTATTAAGTCTTATTTTTTGAATTAATTTTTTTTTGTTTTTTGAATAATGAACTAATTACAAGCTTATTATAAACTCTTTAACAACTTATAATTTCGTTA